CAGCGGGAGAGTTGTGAGGTTCGAACTCCAGCAACCTGAGGCTGACAGCTTTGTGGAAGCAGCCACTTAAAGGACTGAGCTAGGGCCAGGTCCCCCGGTTCACAATATTCTTGCAGAAATGGTGATGGGGGAATGGTATTGGAGACCAATATGAATGAAACTGTTACACAAATTGATGAACAAAATAAACTAGACAAATCTGAGGCTGGCTTAGCAGGAGCGCCAGCCCATGCTGTATCCGCTGTAAAGAATATAAATCTTCCTGAGGTCCTGAGAAATATTAACATTGGTGACATCAGTATAAAAGTGCCAAACCTGCCCTCTTTTAAATAAAATATTAAAAAGGCCACTCCTGGGCCAGGGAGATGGCTCAGTGGAATAAGTGCTTCCCTGGCAAGCGAGAGGGCCTGAGTTCAATTCCCAGTTCCGCCAAAACAAACAAGCAAACAAACAAACAAAATCTGGGGGGATAAGCCATCTAGATTTACCATACAGTTGTTTACCAAAAAATAGAGGAGGAAAGTCTTAACTTTTTGCTCTTGGATTTTTAAGTCAAGGTACTGTATAGAAGTTCTGTAAAATCAGTATGAAAGTTCAATGTTGCTTTTCTTGCTCAGTGATTTTAAAGAAATTATATACTTCCAGTGTGTTTTTTTTGGTTATTGTTTTCTAAGCTGCATTCCTATGCCCACCTAAGTCATGCCTCTATGTATTGGCTATCACAGTATTTCAAAAGTGAGGTATTTCTTTAATTATGTACAACCCAAAATATTGGTGTTTTGTATGGATCACAAGTGCCACATTCCTTAATTCTTTCTGCTCCTTGTCACAATTGTTAAAGAACCAAGTATGTATTGCATGAAAACATGATGACTTTTCCTCTTAAACTCCAAGGTAACTGGATTTCTAAAGCACCTTTCTGTTTGCCTGATATTTACCTTAGTAATAATTTTTTTTTTTTTTTTTTTTTTTTTTTGTGGTACCAAGGATCGAACTCAGGAACTTGCACTTGCCAGGCAAACAAATAATTTTTTTTATGACCCTTTGACTCAAAGTAAATAAAAGTATATTTTATCACTGTTAAAAAGAATAATTATAATAAAAAAAAGAGACAGATAGACTGATTGTCCAGGAAGATATAGAGGCAAAACATTTCAGCCTCAATTTGTTAGAACAATATACCACAAATGTAGTGGTATAAAACAATACACAACTCCATTTCATACTGTCTTACACTGGTGTTAACAGAAACAGACTTTGTAGGATATTAAAAAAATAGCTTTCATATATACCAATAATGAACTAGCTGAGAAAATAATAAAAAATTCCATTCACAATAGTTAAAAAAACAAAATAAAACAAAACTCTAGGACTCAGCCCAACCTAGGACATGAAGACTTCTACAGTGAAAATTACAGACCTTTGAAGAAACTGAAGAAGACAGCAGAAGCCAGAAAGGGTGCCCATGTTCATGGACTGGTGGAATTAAGGTTGTTACAATGGCCATACCACCAAAAGTGATCTAGAAATTCAATGCAACTTTGATGGTGATCAAAATTGCAAAAACATTCTTTATGGAACTAGATAAAACAATCCTAAAATTTACAAGGAACCATAAAAGATCTAGAGTAGCCAAAGCAATCTTAAGCAAAGAAAACAAGGCTGGAAGCATCACAATACCTGATTTCAAATTGCATTACAAATCCAAAGTGACAAAACCAGCAGAGAAGTGGCACAAAAAGACACACAGATTAAGAGAATAGGAGAGTACACAAACCCATACAACCATCACTATTTAATTATGTACAAGGAGCCACGAATGTATGTTGGAGAAAACACAGCCTCTTTAACAAACAGTGCTGGGAAAACTGAATAACCACATGCAGAAGATTGCAACTAATGAAACAGAAATTCTCCCCTTCTACAAAAATCACCTCAAAATGGATCAAAGACCTAGGTATAAGAGCCGAAACATTGAAACTGCTAGAAGAAAACCTAGGGAAAACACTTGAAGCCACAGGCACAGGCAAATATTTCTCAAGTAGAATTCTAGTAGCACAGGAAATAATAGAATCAAGAAATGGGACGACATCAAACTAAAGTTTCCACACCGCTCAGGAAATAACCATACCATTTTTTTTTTTTTTTTTTATTTTAGGGAAGGGTCTACAGGGTGTTTAGGGTTTCACTACTAGATTGTGTAGTGATCTGCCTGTTTACAGTCTCCCAAGAGCTGGGATTACAGGCGGGTGCCACCATGCCACCTCAATTGCCATCTCAGTGCGTCCCAGGGGCGGGGCCAGCACAGCAGGCCTGGGGATACCCCTGGCCCCTGCGCCTGCCTGTAGGTGCTTTAATCTACTGAGCTATTTGGCTGCCCTTTAACCAACAGAGTAAAGAGACGGCCTACAGGAGAAAAATCTTTGTTAGTCATTCTTCCAACAGAAGATTAATAGCTAGCCTACATAAAGAAATTAAAAAAAAAAAAAAAAAAAAAACACTGGAAAAATCAAATAGTACACTTAGAAAATGGACAAGTGAATTGAACATTTTTCCAAAGAGGTAGTACACATGGCTAATAAGTGTACACACACACACGCGCGCGCGCGCGTAATAATGCTGGCATGATGTGGGGAAATAGGAACTCTTACACTGCTGGTGGGAATGTAAATTAACACAGTGTCTTAGTTACTTTCCTTACTGCTGAAACAAAAATACCTGACACTCACAAGTTAAAGGAGGAAAAATTTATTTCAGCTCAGTTTATAAAGGTTTCAGTCTATAGTTGGTTGGCTCCAAGGTAGGGTGGCACAGCAGAGAAGCAACGCCCTACAGCAGGGCACACGAGGCAGCAAGCAGTGAGCCTCCCTTTCTCTTTTATGCTCTCCAGGCTACAGGCCTTTTGGGTGGCTCCACCATACCCAGGGTGTGGCTTCCCACAGCCTATGCCTAGAACTATGATAAGCCAGTTAGTGGGCCATTTCCATAATAACACCGTTAATCCCAGTATCACACATCCTTAATCCATATTCACATACCCTACATTCAGATAGCTCCGAAGATCCCCACCTATGAGTTCATGAGGGGATAGCCATAGCACATAGTTATGAAATCAGTATGGAAGATTCTCAAAAAAACCTAAAAATAGAGCTATTGTGTGACTGAGCTATACCATTCTTTGTATATTCCCAAAAGAATTAAAGTCAGCATATTATAGGATACCTGCATACTCATATTTACTGTGGCGCAATTTACATGAGGCAAAATATGGAACCAGCCTAGATGCCTATCAACAGATGAGCAGATAAAGAAAAAATATATATTATTCAGCGATAAAGGAGAATGAGATTATGTCCTTTACAGGAATCACCACACTAAGAAGAGCCAGACTCAGAAAGACTAGTATGGCATGTTTTCCCTGAAAAGTGGAATCTACAAAAGCTAACATGAAAGTAGAAGGGAGACTCTTATTAGACAAGGGGCAGGGAACAAGGACAGGGAGGTGGTGCAAGGGAGGGTAATGGGCGATGGATATGACCAAATACATGTATGTATGAAAGTATCACATTGAAACACAATATTTTGTAAAATTAATAAGCATTAGTAAAGACTATTTTTTAAAAGACAAAATGACTTCAGATAAATATAATTTTGTATAAAAATAATTAATATACATGTACTCTGGTCAGGAATGTGGCACATGTTGGTAATCCCAGCACTCAAGAGGCTGAGGCAGAAGAATTGCTGTGAGTTCCAGGCCAGCCTCTGCTACAAGGTGAGTTCAAGGTCAGCCTTAACTGCATCCTGAAGCCCTGTCTTTAAAAAAAACCCCTCTAATTCAAGTAGCAAATCCTTCAGACTATGTATAAAAAATCCTAATGCACTCTCATGTGCTCTAGCAGGCAGAAGGTCCTCACTTCCTGAGTTTATCTTCACTCTATGAACAGGAAAGTGAGTGATGAAGCAGGTGCCCATGGCATCTCACATGTGGGTATGACAAAATTCTACCATTCCCTAAAAAGCACCCTGCTTATGTTAGAAACGTTGTAATCACACCAATTAGACAGATCATGCACACATGAACATATCAGCAGATTTCTGTATCAACCCACAAAATGTACTGATAAGGACACCATGGAGTCTGTGAATGGTGCTTATATATGGCTAATTCACAGTCCTTACCTTTCCAGATCCATAGACTGCCTCCTGGGCATATCTGATAAGACACTCTTTGCAGAACAAGTGAGCATCGGCACACTGGGTCAGCTCCTCAAATGGAAATTCCCCATAGCAGCAGCGGCACTCAATCAGCTGGCCATCCTGCAGGCCATCAAAGACACATGTGAATGCCCCATTTGAGTACAAGGGAGGACATGTCTCACATCCCTACAGTCTCCCTGCCACCATTCTGAGGTCAAAAGTGACTCCTAGGAGCCATGAAACAACAATGAGTAGTGTTTTTCCAGCTAAACCTAGATTAGGATATCAGTACATCATTAACCAATAGTTAAAGAAAGTGAATATTTCACATTTTTTGTGCATTCTCTTTGTACAAAGCCATTACTACAATATTTGTATTCAGATGCTAACATGACTATAAAAATAAAGGGTAAGTGGCATGAGATGTTACCTAAAAGCTGTCAAAAATTGGATTTACTCTTGTTATTACACAGGAGTGTGAGAGAGTCATAACCCAGCCCACGCTTAAGGACTACAGACGCTAACTAAAGCAGCAACCTCATGGGACATACCAGACCTTAGTCTCTTTATTCACTGAAGTGATGGATCCACTCATCTGCCTGTTCCTACTCATGCTAGAAAGGCCACGATGCACACGAGCAGACACCCCTCAGAAAGGGGCGTTTGGCTCAAGGCCAAACACAGCACTTTCTTTCAACCCCAGAGTGCTTTGTGAATTCTAAACTTTTCTCGAGCAGCTCATGTAGTGGATTCCCAGCAATGGTCTTTAACAAGAACATCTCCATCACTCCCTTCCTTTCATCTCTGACTCACACTGGTTCTAAGAGGGCCTACACTAGCTCATGCTACTGACTGCAAGCTGAATGTGCTGCCAACTCAGCAGACTGAAGGAGTGTAAAGTGAACATTTGCCTTTGAAATGCCAAGGAAATGTGATCAAGGAAAAGCCCCTGAGTGCACCCTGGATAAATCAACTGGGTGAGACTCCAAAATACCTTTTGATATTGTTCTTCATTCATCTGCAGGGCAAGCAGAAAGTCTTCATGCTGAGGGACAAAAATAAAAAAACAAAATCTCACTTTCAGATACAGATTTAGTAAAGAAAACAACACCATCCACTATTTACTTCCATAAACATGAGTCTATTATTAGTTGGAATCTGCTCAGTTAAATGGTTTGAGAGTTTAAAAAGTTACCTGAGAATAAATATGCAGAGTGAATAAGGGAAAAGACTGATACACAAAACACTGGTGAATAGCAAAGAAGAGCAAAAGCAAACAAAAGACTAAATGGGCCAAAACCAGGCTTGACAACACACTTGCTGCTGAAGCTACAGGCAACAGCATTTTTGTGCATTACACACAGTACAGCCATGAGGGAGGGAACCTGGCATGGATTCACAGTCTTTTGTGAATCTGGCCCAAAGATGCCCGGGGCAGAAACATAAATCCCCACATGCACACACTTACTTATCACGGCGCTAGTCACAAGAGAAAAGACCTGGGGAAAACCCTCAATGTCCATCAATAGGAAATAACTGAGCAACCTCTGCTACTGTGGACTACGGTGTAATTCCCTGTGGGCTGCTGGGAAATTTCACCAGGATACACTGACATGGAAAGAAGCAGGGCAGAAGACTGCACTACCTTTTGGGTGAGAAAGGAGGATAAATACAAATATATACATGTATTTGCTTCTACAGGAAAGATAAGCCAAAAAAAAAGTAGTAAGGTTAAAATATGGAAGGAATAAGAGAACATGTGGAAGGGACAAGGTAGAATCTAGACCTGTGGACATTTCTTTTTGACTTAAGAACTAAAAATATAATTTAAAAAATCTAATTCCCTAAAAGGCAAAAATAAACATAAAGGTATACACTTAATGTTTCAAGTTAGCAGCATAACCAAACATGTCATAACACTTTTTTGTTTTTGAGATAGAGTCTTGCTATGTAGTTTAGGATATTCTTGAACTGTAAGAGATCAGGCTGCCTTAGCCTCACAGGTGCTTAGATTATAGGCATGCACCACCACATTTAGCTACCAAATGACTTTAAAAACAGCACAATATATTTTGTATTTGTATTCTTTTTCTTTCATTTTTTTTCTTTATCTTTTGTTTTTTGTCTTTTTGAGACAGGGTCTTGCTATGCAATTCAGGCTCACCTTTTTTTTTTTCTCCTTAAGAGACAGGGTCTTACTATGGTATATTGTTGAGGCTGACTTCAAGCTTGCCTCAGCCTCTTGCCCAGCTAATATTATAAATGCATGCCACCACACCTGGCCAATTTTATATTCCTTTTTTTCTAATTTTACATTCTTAATTTGGTACAATCTGACAAGAACCAAGATTATTAATAACCAAGATTTTCAGCATTAAAAAACAAGAATTATAAAGAGTGAAAAACCTCAAAAAATAACCCCCCCCAAAAAAACAAAACAAAAAACCCCACCAAACCCTGTAAACCAAGTTTTAAAGAGAAATCTCACTGTAAAATTTCTAGGAGAGAAAGAGAAAATAAAGGAGTTTCAAGGAAACTAGAGATTCTAGGTCTAGGTCAGAGAATGCAGAAGCTGAATCTGGATCACCCTGCACTGACAGAAGCAAGGTCAGAAACAACTGGGGTCAGGACAGAGGGACTGACCTAAAGGGTTGCCACTGGCCAGAGATGGGGCAACCTGGACATCAAGAAGAGAGATCACTATGAGTAATATCTACCAGTTTTTGCCAATTTTTTACATACCTTTGTGATGGGATCAGTAGTAACATTAACAAATGTGATTCTCTGGTTAAGAATAATCATTTTAGCTGGGTGCAGAGTCATAAATCTGCAATCCCAGCTACCTGAAAAGCTGAGGAAGGAGTATTCCAAGTTTGAGGCCAGCTGGGGTAATGTAGTGAGACTGTTTCAAAAATTTTAAGAAAAGTCTAGGGAATAAAAAAAGGGTATATGTGTGGCTGGGTATGTAGCTTGTGCTTGCTGGTTTCAATCCTCAGAACCAAAAGAAAAAAAAAAAAAAAGCCAATTCACTTGAGAAAATGTCTGCCAAATAACCAATTTTGATTACCATGTTCTTGCCGGCTTGCACCAGTGCTAACAGAAGGGGTAGTCACACACAGGACTGACATCCACCATCAGTGGATCAAGTCATCCTTCAGTGAGGCTTATGAATTACGGCCCCATCATGAAAGTGTTAATCAGTTTTTCTGCAATTCATTTTTTCAAGTAAAAAAATGTGCTCTGCAGTGGAAAAAACAAACAAGCCACACACACACACGCACATAAAAAAAAAAAAAAAAAAAAAAAAAAACGCAGGCTAATTCAGCTGGATTCAGCTCAGTAACAAAAATGCCTCTGTTCAAGACAAGCATTAATTGCCCATGTGCAGTAGGAAAACTTTATACTTTTCATTTTGTTACACAAAATACTGAAAAGATGTTTTCAAGGGTCAAACTTTTATAAAGTAATATTTTCTTATCAAAAAGACCTTCAAAAAAAAAAAAAAAGACCTTCACATGGAACTGATGTTTAAACAAAGGTGAATGCTGGGTGGTGAGGACAATCTGTGCTACTGGTTAGATTCCTAATAAGGCATACTCACTTTAGTTCTGTCAATGCTCATTCAACATAGCAGAACAAAGCAAATAATATTTTAGTACCAACATGGCAGAGCTGTGATCTCACAGGCTCCCTTAAGTGTCCCTAGGGACCTGGGGGTCACACAAGAGCCATTGGTATAGAAGATAATTAAGGAACAGTCTATATATCAAATCCTTCTGGCTTTTCTCTAACAGAGGTTGAAGGAGGTAAAAGAGATGTTAATAATTTCAATTAAAATCTTTAATAGCAATCTGGTTTATAAAATTAAAATTCAGTCACTATCATTTCAAAACTCAGTTTTTCTATTTATCTGTTTGTTTACAGACAGGGTCTCACTACACAGTGCAGGCTGGTCTTGAACTTATTTATGTAGCCTAGAGTGAGGTCAAACTCAGGGTGATCCTCTTGCTTCGGCCTCCCAAGTCCTGATATTAGAGGTGTGCACTACCATACCTGGCCAGTTTTTTTCTTTTGTTTTTAAACTGTCATGTAATCAGTCAGTCTAAGAAGAAGATAAAATCTTGAAGCTCGAGATGCACTTAAGTGCCTATGGGTTTGATCCTGAACACACCATTACCACTACCATTCCCCCAAACAAAAACCAGGATAAAACAAAACAGTGGAAGGGAGATTTTAAAGAATAGCAGTTTGGGTACCAAGGCCTAACTGTTAATGAGCTAGAACTGCAGAAAGAGCACCAGAGCAGAGCATGTCTTCCTACCTCGGCCATCTCTTTGATTTTCTGCTCATAGAATTCCTGCTCTTGCTGCACAGCTGGAAGGAGGGCACACCGGTCATAGGACCTACAATGTCGCCGTTTATTTTCCAGAAAGAACATCCTTTTTTCTATTTTGATATCACCTAAAAGATATATAACAATGCAAAATCATGCAGACAGCTGTTCACTAGGAATCCAGGGTAGCCATTCCAGCTTCAGTTGCTCAACCTTCCACATGGTACACTTCAAGGCTCCTCCTGTAACCATTCTATTTCCAGAGAACTGTGCCCCTCATTGGTCCTCATCTACCATACACCTCTGGATAGCTTTACCTTCCCCCCTACTACACTCCTATTGGAAAGCTCTCTTAAGTCATCAGTAGAGTACTGTGTGAATATAAAAGTGGTACCAAATTAATTCTTTCCACAAATCTCCTCTCAAACCAAAGTGAATGAGACCCAAATCAAACTCAATGGTTAAATTCAATACTGACCTGATGGGGAAATTTGATTCAGTTCTTGTCCAATTTGGTTTATAACCAGAATTGCAGGGAAGGAAGAAGTTTGTGAACTGAGGTATCACTGTATAGTTTATTATCCATTCTTCCAACAAGGACCTTTGGTTTATGGCTATCATGAGTAGAGCTATTTGTAGCTATTTAGCTTGGATAGTTGGTTGTTTTTTTTTTTTTTTTTTTTTTTTTTTTTTTTTTTTCTTTTTTTCAGTTCCAGGGATCCAACTCAGGGCCTTGTGCTTGCCAGGCAGGTGCTGCTGAGTTATTTTCCCAGCCCCTTGGATAACTGGACTGCAGATTTCTGCTGGTCTGTTGAAAGGAGCCCTTAATGCTTAATTTTTTTCCCTCCTTTTAAATTTTTTATAACTTTCTGACCAATTTTGCATGCTTGTATTTGATAATCTGTACAACTAATTTGAAGACAACCATGGTTGAACTATTGTTTAGTGAAATTCTGTATCGTTTCTGATGTTTCTTTTTTTGCAACTTTTAAATTTTTTAAATTTTTTATTTTTTTGTGGAACCAGGGATTGAACTTAGGCCCTTGCGCTTGCCAGGGAAGTGCTTATTCCACTGAGTCATCTCCTGGCCCTTGTAGCTATTTAGTGATGAATGTATGTCTGGAACTCAATTAAAGAAGTGGAACTGCCAAATCATGGGGTATGCTTACTTAAACTTTAGAAAATAATGCCAGTTTATCAAAGTTGTTGTTCCAATCTATACCTCCCCTGAGAATGTAATATATGAGTTCCAGGTGCTCTTTATGCTTGCTAATGCTTGGTGTCACTGCTTCTTAATTTTAGCTGCTTCCAGTAGATGTGAATATGCTTTATGTATGCACATTAATTTTGAAAATTAGAGACAGAAAAGTTAAAAGAGAAGTGCTTAGATTTACTACAATAAATAACATTTAGAATAAGAGGAGAATAACAAATATCAGGTATATAACTAATCGTTTAAGTTTTACATTTCTTTAATTCAGCAACTTATATTTTAGAAAACTATGCTATTCAAGTTTCCAAATTATTTACCACCACTTTGTTCTTAGTAACCTCTTGAGTTTAACAATATTTACTGTACCTCTTTTCTGCTATACTGTGTTTTTTCTCTTTTTCTCTTATCCTCACAAAGTTTTAAAAATTTATCCAGTTTTTTATTTTATGAAAACAGTTTAAAGCACATTTGGTTTTGAACTCAAGTCACCAGGGTTGGCAACCCAGCATGGCTATCATTTGCTATGTATAACTTGGTGGATCACTTAACTTCCCTGTGCTTCAGTTTTCTAATTTGCAAAGTGATAATAATGACATATATCTAATAAAGCTATCTGAAGCACAAATGAATCTATGTAATGCATGTAGGAAGGGCATAGTTGAGGCTGGTCCTGAGCTTACTATGTAGTATAGGCTGGCCTCAAACTCATGATGATTCTCCTGCCTCAGCCTGCCAACTACTTGGATTACATGTATGCACTACCATGTCTGGCCATCATTATTGTTTTCATCTAATAAACTGAAATAATAGCATGGAGGAAAACCTAACTTATGAGAGATACCAGTTTTGTGAAAACTGGAATTTACTAAGTTATAATTCAGATGGTGTTTCCCCAGTTTTCAAGATAAATTTTATAATGCCATTTTTAATTGTTAATAAGAACAACTGCATGATGTTTGAGATATGTGACAAATGCCTTCAAACATAGGCAAATTATGGGCATGAGGGCCAGCTGGTCTCCACTAACCTGTATTTTTAAATGCCTTTTTAATATTAAAGTACTTTGTAAAATGTTTATTTAGTAAAATGTTTTATAAAGTATATCTTGTATACAAAAAGTGCTCTATTTCTGATGGGGTTACATTGTTACAAAAATGGTATGGAAACAGCATGTGTATTTTGAAATATACAATGCAGTGAACATTATACTTTGCCTTAGACTTAATTATGTGTGGCCACATAAATTATGAGTTGTGTAATATATCAAAATATCTGATACAAATCCTGAAATATACTACAAAAAAAATAAAATAAAATAAAACCAAATGCAGGGCCAGGGAGATGGCTGAGTAGAATAAGTGTTTCCCTGACAAGCACAAGGGCCTCAGTTCAACCCCTGGTCCACCGGAAGGAAAAAAAAAGATTTGGCGTGTTAAAACAAAACAAAACAAATGCAATTACGTCTACAAATTCTATTGTTTTGCTTTTTGAGACAAAGTCTTGCTATGTAGTCAGGCTGACCTTGAACTCACTATGTAACCCAGCCTTGAACCTCCCCAGTGCTAAGATGATATGTGGTTTTTAAAGTAAATTTTCAAATAATTGCAGACTTAAGTGAAATTATTAAGAAGTATAGAGATCTTTCATTCACATTTCCCTACATGATAATAAGCTGTGAAACTATAGTATAATGTCACTGCCAGAATACTGAGTTACAGTCTCCCGTCAGAATATACAGACCACCAAGGGCATTGTTCCTGTGGCCTTCACAGCCACACATTTCCTTCCATCAGCAACCTTTTCTGAATCCCTGCCAACTAATATTTTTCCATTTCTGTAATTTTGTCATCTCAGGAATATTAAGTAAACTATACAGGATATTAACTTTTAATTAACATAATTTTCTGGAGGTTTATCTAACTTGGCACATACATCAGTAATTCTTTTTATTGCTATAGTGTAAGTCTGGGGTTGTAACTCTAGTCATGTGCTTACCTAGCTTGAGTGTAATTTCTTGTATGACAAAAACAAAAACAAAAAAAGAAAGAAAGAAAAAAAGAAAGAGACTGCCCTTATATAGTGGTGCTACATTTGCTATAAACATCAACAGTTGAGGGCGACTTTATCTGCACACAGGAGCCATGAATGGTTATCTACTGGCTTTTTGGGAAGGTAACTTTTACTTCTCTGGGATAAACGCTCATGAGTACAACTGCTGGGTCATGCTGTTATCACATGCTTAGTTCTAAAATAAACTGCTGAGATGTCTTCCAGATTGACCATATCATCATATGCCAGGAATGTACAAGTGACAGTTTCTCTGCATTCTCAACAGCATTTGGTGGTGTCACTCTGTTTTAACCATTCCAAAAGGTGTATAGTGGTATCTCACTGTGGTTTTCATTTGCATTCATCAGTTAATGATGGGGAACATCTTTTGTGTATCTACTATCTATATATTCTCTTTGGTGATATCTATCTTTTGTCCACTTTCTAATTGGGGGACTTTTGTTTTTCTAATACTGAATTTTTGGAGTTCTTTATATTCTAGATGCTAGTTCTTTGTCAAGGGATGTGGTTGTAAATATTTTCTTTCAGTCTGCAGTTTGTCTTTTCATCTCCTTAAAAGGTCTTTTCAAGTAGGGGACTCAGGTCAACAATTTCTGACATTGCCAGTCAAGCGGAAGACCCAATACTATTATGGGCTACTGGACTCTTTTAGAATATTTTGCTGAGTTAACACACCTATAATAGTTAAATGTTGGAACTAAACACAAAAAGGGATACAGATGAATGTCCATTTTGTATTTGTGTATTCAAAGTGGTTAGGATAGATATATAGTTACATCCTCATCTTAATAAATAGAGGGATTTGTTCTAATGGTGTTTGTAAATAGGATATCATGTCTGCATCTTGTACAGCAATTAACCACTAGGAAGAATGTATGCAATGTGTTAATTATTGAAACTGTCCTACCAATTTGATTTGAAACTGTCTCATTGCTATTTGTTTATCAATAAAATTATGGAAAAAAAAAGTCTTTTCAAGATGGGAGAGATGGTACACAACTAATGTAGCATTCTGGGAGGCTGAGGAAAGAGGGCTGCAGCCTTGGCAACTTAGATCCTATCTCAAAAAAAAACAAAAACAAAAACAAAAAAAACCCCAAAAACAAAAACCCACACACAAAAAACCCAAACAAAAACCAAACATAAAACAACAACCAAAAAAAAAAAAAAAAAAAAACAACCAAGGATGTAGCTCAGTTCAAAGGTGCTGGGTTTAAGTGAGACATGGTGGCACATGTCTAACTGCAACACTCAGAAGGCTGAGACAGGAGGATCACCATGAGTTAGAGACCAGAGCAAGCTACAAAGTGAGTTCAAGGCCAGCCTGAACTGCATAGTGAAACCCTGTCTCAAAAAGACAAAAACCAAACAATCCCCCAACTCCCAAAAGACCAAAAATCCAAAGGCTCTGGGTTCAACACACACACACACACACACACACACACACACACACACACACACACACAGAGTCTTTTGAGGTTTAAAATGTCTGAACTTTGCTGGTATCAAATTTAAGAACTCTTTGTAGAGTTCTAGAACATAAACATCTTCTTTTCCCCCTGAAGATTTTATATTGGTTTAGTTTTTGTGTGAAGTGTAAGACTTGGGTTTGTCTCTTATGAGCATCCAATTGCTCTAACACTATGTAAAAGGTTATCTTTTCTTTCCTGAATTGTTTCTGCATCTTTGTAAAAAATGAATTAGATGGCTCAGCAGTCTAAAGCACCTGCTTAGGCAAGCTTAGGCAGGTGCAGGAAACTGTGGTTCGATCTTTGGCACCACATACTGTGCCAACCCCACCCTCAGGGTGTGCTGAGCAGGCCAAAAAAAAAAAAAAAAAAAGAACTGGGTACTACTGATTGGTGAATGGAATAAATGAAATGTAGTAAATCCATACAATGACTATTATCTGGTAATAAAAGGAACATATATCAATACATGTACATGGGTGAAGCTTGAAAATATGTTCTAAATGAAAGAAGCTGGTTGCAAAACATAATCTGATTCCATCCATGTGAATTGTTCAGAATAGGTAAATTTTAAGAGAGGAATTAGATTAGTGTTAGTAAGAAAAGAGCAGAGTTGAAGGGAAATAGCTTATGACTACTAATGATTCAGAGTTCCTCTCTGGAGTGATGAAAATATTCTAAAATTAACTGTGATTATTGTAAACTGCACACATACTAACAAAATTGCAAATGTGAGTTATATCTCAATAAACCAGTATTGGTGTGGATCACTTCTCAATTCTCTATTCTGTTCCACCAACAAGTCTAGATGACTAGCTACATAATAAGTTATCACCAGGTAGACTAATTGCTCTCACTACCTCTATTTGTGACATCATCTATGGAAAAAAATCATATAAACTCTTCTTGGATACAGGCGACTTGGAGGAAATCTGTTAAAAAGTTTAACTCTGAAAAATTAAAAAAAAAAAAAAA